CCAGAACATAGAGCTAATGTGATTTTCCAGAATGCAGCCCAGCAAGACAAAGATAAAATTAATCTGCTTAGGGTTTCCAGGACCACACCAATCATTTTCAGCTCCAGATTTATTTGAGGGAAAACTAGTGTTTTTGAATTCCCAGGGAAAGTGTTTTGTTTTCCACTCAGTCATGGATCGTATGAAACAGGTTAAAAAACATGAGAGATAGAAAGAGGTGTCCATTCGTACTCTGAAAGAAGAGAATGAGGGAATGGGAAGATGGATACTCACCGAGATCATGAGTGAGGAGGCTCCAGAGTACGAAGTTTATCCTAAGGTGATAATCTGACAGAGACCAATAAGGACATTTGGTCTCTATATAATTTTTTTAACAATACATTTGGATGCAATTTAAATATCTGGCAGTATGATAGTTAAGAAATAAGTCATAGAGGGGCACCTGGGTGGCTCAGTCAGTTAAGCATCCAACTTTGGCTCAGGTCAAGATCCTGCGGTCCTGGGGCTTAGTCAGAGCCCTCACTGGGCTCTCCACTCAGCAGGGAGTCTGCTTCTCTCTCACTCTCTCTCTGTCCCTCCCTCTGCTCATGCTCACTCTCTCTCATTCCTCCCTCTCCCTCAACTAAATAAAATCTTAAAAAAAGGAAAAAGAAAAAAATCATTGCATAATAGTACCTTGTCATTTTATACAGAATTAAAATGACTGATATATGTATATATCCCCATTTATTGATAAGGACAGACCTCCATTCTTACCAATAAATAAAGCTTATAGTAGAACAGCATATATCATATGGTCCCATTCATGTAAAGTTACATATATATTTGTTTATATTTACAATGTCTTAGAATATTACCCAATATGAGTGAATATAAATAAAAAGAGGGCAATGGAATGGTCTGAAAGATTCGAAGTGGTGATCTGTGAGTATTCGGATTACAGGGAATTTTCCTTGCTCTGTATTTCTACAACGTTTGGGTGTTTTTTCTTCTAAACAGAAGCAGGTTAAATACATCCACACATATACATAAGGAATATCTTAACATTTTTTGATTCCCTGGACAGTTTTCTTTTCACTAAACGTAAGACCATTTTGCTAATCTATCACTTTGGTGCTGTTAGGGCTATTTTTACAACTATAATTGAAGTACGCTTTTCTTTACCTTTTTAAGTGTATATAGGAACCTTCACTATCACTCCCAAATGTCAGGTGGGACTAGTGAATGAATTCATTTTGGTTACCTTATGCATGTAAAGACTGAGGAATGGTATTATAAGTACAGGGGAAGAGAAGTACAGAGAAATATCAAGGGACCATATTTTAGCTAAAAGCCAAAGCAGCTACTACCACACCACACAAAGACATCTCATATGTCTTGTCCAGACAGCATAAAACTGAACAGATACATGAGTATTTATAACTATTCCTGATGTTTCTGTCATTTTTTAAAATAAATCAGTTTTCATAAAGGTCTAAATAGGGCTGAGAAAAGTCATAAATAAAAATATTATTGAAGGTAGTATGTTTTTTTTCTAAGACATTAGATAAACTAGAATAACTAATGGTAGTTTTCTCCTTAACTTTCTCAGGTACTTAAATTTAAGGAGAGTTGAATTTTCAATTGCATCTCCTCGTATTGTATTCTTAGTTAAAAAAAAAAAAAAATCATTGGGGCGCCTGGGTGGCTCAGTGGGTTAAAGCCTCTGCCTTCGGTCCAGGTCATGATCTCAGGGTCCTGGGATCGAGCCCCGCATTGGGCTCTCTGTTCAGCAGAGATCCTGCTTCCCCCTCTCTCTCTGCCTGCCTCTCTGGCTACCTGTGATCTCTGTCTGTCAAATAAATAATAAAATCTTTTTTTTAAAAAAAGTCATTGTGGTAACATCCCAGTGAAAGTGATGACATGGCACCTAGATCTTAGTTTTTAAATGTCATTCTCCAATAAAAAGAATCAGGATTCCATGAAGAAATAACTGAATCTCTGGCTAAGGCAGGAGGATCCAAGGTGACCCTGGAGTGTCTAATACTCTCAGAAAGCAAGGAAGTGTTCAAAAAACAAAAGGATGGGGACCTAATAAGTAGACAAAGGAACCCTCAGAAACAAGCCCCCAGTGGCCAAACCTGGACAAATTATAGCAACAAAACCCCAAGTATAAAATAAATATACATGAGTCCATACTGCTATAAATAATTCCCTACCTTCAAGAATATACTGGTCTTAGTGACACCCTTCCAAAAAATAGTGGGACAGGGTGAAGAGTAACTCTACAATGAATAAATCTGACAAACACTACCTCACTCAAATGATCAAGGAACATCACCTTTGTTAAGCTGTGTTCACTGCATGTAGTCCATCATGTGATAAAATGAGAAGGACACTTCGTCTCTGGGGCATTCTTCAAAAATAACATTAACCCTTCCCCCTTGGGAAAGGCATGAATATGAGATGGAGGTGAAGCATAGGGGATTTCTAGGTCAGTGAAACTATTCTGTAAGATACTGTAATGGTGGCTCAGTCATTATACACTTGTCAAAACCTACAGAAGGTGCAGCAAGGGTAAACTCTAATGTAAACTATAGACTTCAGTCAATAATAATATATCATTATTGGTTCATCAATTGTAACAAGTATACTACACTAATCCACAATGTTAATAACAAACACAAAGGAAAAGGGCTTGAGGGCTATGTGGGAACTCCCTAAACTTACACAATTTTTAAACTGCCTCCCCCAAATGAAGTATATTTAAAAAAAGCAAAAGCAGTCAAAATCTAAAAGAAAAAATTTGGTGGTAAGATGGAAAGATATATGACACAGCGAGTGTAGTAAAACGTTAACAGTGGTAGGCATAGATATTCACTTTATGACTCTACTTTTCTCTGTTGGACATTTTTCATAATAGATGTGGGGGAAAAGTCATTGTGGGTGATACTGGGAGAAAGCTTAGTACAGTAAGTCAAAATGAGCCTGTGGGATTTCATTGAAACTCTGGGATGGATTTCTCATATTTTTCTGTACAAAATACATAATTTGATTTAACGACCTAAATTAGTAATCTAAATTTTTGAAACTTAATGAGACTTGCCTTCAAAACCCAGAGTCTAGGTTAAATTGCCTTGTTAGTTGGTAAATACAACTAGATATCAACCAGTTCATATTATTTGAGAAATACAACTAGCTAATCTGTGTGGTTTCTCATCGGTAGAGGAATATGAGTGTGCTTTGTAGTTTTTCCAACAATACTGAGGACATGGTAGTAGGTCTACACATCTACCATCCTGGACTTTGTCAGTGTTCTGGTGATGACTTAGCATGTTTTATTTACCATCCAAAATCATATTTTTTTTATTACTTGCTATGACATGACAATAACTCTAGTTTTGAATGGTGCATATTTCTCATTATGAATCTAAATACACAGAATGTTTGCTGTTTTCAGTCACTACACTGTGTAAAATGGTGCATTAAAAATAGTATGACATATTTGCATATTTATCTGTATTAAAAGCCTCAAGTTATTGCAGATACACAGCTGTTGCTTTTTCACCATTTTTAAGGGAACTGTATCCCCTCTCCTATATAAATTACATACATTTTCAAATGTATCATCTGAGCCAAAAGAGCCGCAAAGCTTTAAACAGGAAAGCTGATTCTCGGAGGAGAATGATGTTAAAGGAGAGGAATTGTAAATTTTTAGTCATTGTGTCCAAATGATACATTTTTAACCGAAAATGATAAATGCGTTCCTTTGCCAACTCAGATATTATACATTGTAAACAGAAAGTAATTCTGGATGCTCTTACAAATTACAGCCTTATTTCAGCAGAGAAACTGTTTATCTAGCGTAGAGAGCATTTAAGGAGATGCTGCCTTAGAGCCATCAGGTTACAGAAGACTCCACTTTGTGCCTTCAAAGTGACAATTTCTGTTGTAAAGAAATTTTTCTTATAGGAGCATTTCCATACCTTCATGAAAGCCAATAGTAATGTTTTTCTTTTTAATTGAAAAGGATACTCTACGTACCTGAAATGCTAGCTACTATCATCTTCGGAGTTCCCAGAAAAGTCCCAAATTGAGTAAAACTATTCTATAACGTTTCATTGTTTTCTCTAGAACCTTAATACAGACTCTTTCATTTTTTAAGAAAATACGTGTGTTTTTTCTACTCTATGACCATGGTAAGTTGATTAATATATAATTCAGATGCATACCAGAAGTTATGGTTTTAATATCTGAATTACAGTTTGTTTTGTAAGAAGGCTATTACACATAAATCATTGAATCAAAGATTTCACATTTCAGAATTCAATCTCACCCTGTTAGCTAAATGAGAGGGGTCCTGAGAAGAGAGGATTATCGTATATTAAAAGTTTGCCATTTTGCAGCTCTAATCCTGTTGAAAAAAGATGATTTCTGTCTTACTTAATCAGCAAGAGGTCTTTATTGCCTTAAGTATTAATTGATTAGGTTCTCATTAAGGTCAAAAGTACACTTGGCTGACCAGAGGCAGCCAATTAGCACATTGTCAGTCATGCTTATTTACATTGACTGAGCATAATGGTAGTTATTTGACTGTCAAGTCACAAGGTCACAGAATCTTTTGTGCACTTTGCCCTCTGAAAGGGCAATAATCATTCAGACACCAAAAAGCATTCATAACAAAGATTGAGTTTATTCCTTATTGACTTAAATCACTCTTAGAAACAGGTGTTTCATTCTCTTTGGACAAATGATACATCATTCTTTGTGAAATACTTGAGGTCTGGTTGAAATTCTGTGGCTGATTGTGTCTGAGGATTTTTGTTCAGCAAGCAGCTTGCACTTCAAACTCTAAATAGCTTTTTAAAGAGTAGACCAATCCAGTGACTATATCCTTTTTGCAGTAGACACTTTTCTCTTGCTAAGTGATTGCAGCAAGTTAGAACTAGTTGGGCACACTTGTGCTGAATTGGCCCTGGGACACCAGCCTCTAAGCGGAGGGTTGGAAGCACATTTGAGTCTCACCTTACTGAGGAGATTAGTATGCTTTTTAAATACACTGCTGCTGACCTGGGACATTGGATATTTGCTGTAAAACAAAAGAAAAACAAAAATTCAGGGTTATTCATGAAACCAGTAATCTAAAATTTCTGCCTGTAGTTCCAGTGGTTTTTATCATCATAAATCATTACACCAAATTTATATGGTGGTCATGTAACTAGTTGCATTTGTTAACATTCTGTTTTATTTTTTTCTACGGGTCCTCTTCTACTTAAATTTAACATCATTATTGCTTCCATTTCCTGTTATTGATTCAAATATCACTGATGATTCCATGAGTTACATTTTAAGGAGAACATTTTGTTTAATGCATCACTTTTACAACTTGTGACTCTAAATCGAACTGGATCCCGTAAGCAGCTTAGATTTTTTCCTTTACATCCTGCCCTCCCTAAATATGCATCTCACTAAACATCACGTTCCATCCATTCTAGTTACTGAATATCATCAATAAATATAAGTACTCTCCATTTCAACTCACTGCCACTGCCCCAGTTCAGCAATTTGTCTCTTGATTAAACTGTTGCAATGCCTTTTTACTGGTCTTCTAAATGATTCAGTGGCCCTCTGTTGGCATAACTATCTTCCCACTCCAGTGTGGTTCCTTCAGAGTAGAGTGATATATTTTTATATTGCATCCCCAGCAAAGTTAGTGTTTGGTACATATAGGCATTCAGTAAAAATTTACTGAATAAATAAATAAATGGCCGTAATTAACTTTGTGCTACATATAAATGTAAACCTTGATAGAATAATAATTTGTTATGATTTAAGAACTCATTAAATCAAATTTTTCACTACTATTAAATTATTAATTAATACTTTCTCAGACTGTTATAAGAAGCAATAAGTTGTAATTCATCCGTGTGACTAAACTGACAGCATTGAATATGAAGATAGAGTCCAAATCAAAGGAAAAAATTACTACCATAATTCTTGAGTAATTAAGCTACCAAGTAGATATAGAAAATAATTGCATATACTACCAAAACATTTGCTTTGGGATCATACGATTTTCTGATGATTCAACATTAAATTAATAGTTACTATTTATATTTTGTCTACCAAGTACTGAGAATTCCACATACATTATCTACCATCCTCTCAAGAACCAGAATTGTTATTTTATGGATAGGAAAACTGGTTTCACATGGTAACTTATCCAAACGCACATAACCTAGGTCTCCAAAATCTAAAGTCTATCTACCACACGAATCTGACCCTAGTAAGTTTGCATCCTTCTCTCAAACTTTGCACCATCTATTTAACATTATTCTGAAACTTCACTGGAAGATAGAAAGTGAACAATAAAAGGAAGAAATGATTAGAAATCTTGTTGGGTAAATTGAGGGATGCCTCATCTCCCACTTGATCTTGAGCCTATTACCCTACTGGTTGAAAGAAAATATGGTTTTATCATTTAAGTTTTCAGAAGAGCAAGCTGGCCAATTCTCACTGTTTTATTGCCTTTACTTATATATGAGACAGGCAGATACAACAGATATTTTATTGTCTTTCCCCCTGTACCAAGATGATATTGGAAGCTCCTCAGTTAACACAGAGACAGAAGGAACAAGGGGAATTAATGATACTGAGAAAGTATGTTGATTTGTGCATTCTCTATTAGTTAAAAAGCATTTACTGCATACCTTTTAGGTGTCACAGCCCCCGTGCTAGGTGTTGGGGATAATGTCCCAGATTCTATAGAACTCATTTTCACTCAAACTAGATAGAAGTAAAACACTGATTTATACTCTTACTTAAGATAAAGTTTAGAAATTTTAAATAAAATTTAACTATTAGTATCAGGTTAAACTCTTATTCAACTGTCCTTGGGATGATCACAGTTGACACTTAATATTTGGTATGTAATCTTTAATTAATTTTTCATATTTTACTGTTTTTACCATGCCCAGGTCAATCCCTTATTGATCATACAATTAGTTATTCTAATAATAAACGACTCTTATTCTATAATAACAACTATAGTGTTTTGCTAGTTGTTACCTATTTTCTGTGCTCATCTAAAATAAAGCATGAGATTATGGATTTCCTTTTTCCTTAATCTTTTGCTTTATTTCAAATGAAGTAATTGTATAAGTTGATTGGAAGTAGAGGGATATTCCTATTCTTTGTTCAGATTTTACAGTGTTTCCCATGATTTTCAGTATTTGTTCTTGGCAAATTGCCCTCCTTTATCATTCGCTTCTGAAAGGGATTTTTTTAGCAAATATTTGTCAAACACTCCTAACTATGTACTGGGTTCTCATGGAAATTACATGCTAAAGGGAAAGACAAAAAAGTAGACTGGATAAGGGAGATGGAGAATGGAGGTAAGGATCTGGGGAGAGGGGGATGTTATATTAAATAGTGTACTCACAGATGGGCCCATTGAGAAGGCATCAGTTGAGCAAAGACCTGAAGGAACTAAATGATTTAACAAAGCAGGTCACCAGCATAGGGCACTCCAGGCCAAGGAGACAGCCAGTGGGAATGTGATAAAATAGAAGTTTTCAAGTTTCAGGCTTGTTTGAGAAGTACCGAGGAAATTAATGTTACCACAGCAAGGTCAATTTATAAGAGAAGGTTAGAAGCCAAGGCCAGAGAGGTCAAAGGAGATGGCCAGGAATTGTGCCAGGCCTTATAGACATGGGGAAGGAATTTGGCTTTTACTCTGAGTAAAATAGGAAGCCAAGAGGGTTTTAAGCAGAGCACTGACCGGATGTGACTTGTATGTTCAGAGTATCACTTGGGCACTGGCTTGAGCATGGACTTTCCCAAGGGTAGAAGCAGATGGACCAATTAAGAAATTATCTCACTAATCTATATGAAAAATGATAGTGACTTGGATCAGGATGGGAACAAGGAACTTGGTGAGAAGTTGTTGGATTCTGGATATATTTTGAAGGTATAACTGACAGGATTTCCTGGCAGATAAAAAGTGAGCAGTAAATGAAAAAAGAATTCAAGAAAGATTTCAAGTTTTAGGGCCTAAGCAACAGAACGTGAGAAGGTAAAAATCCTTTCCTACACACTTCTTGCTCCTAATGATTCTATATGTCAATTCTATTTATAAAAGTGGTTTAAATTCTATTTTACCCTCATATACTTAGAAGGTAGAAACCCAGCCAACTCAAAAGTTCTAATAGCACTCTTGGTGAATTCACAGTGTCCCTATGTAAACTGGTGTGCTAGTTGTCACTTCTGAGGATAAAACCCCCACTAGAATTTACTTGAATAACATAACATCAACATAAGGATACTTGGAACACGCAAGAGAATTAGATGACACACCCTTTGTCTTCTTCAAGCATGTTGTCTGTCTTATCATCTAGGTAAGCAGAGATCCAAGTCAGCCTAGTTTTGGATTTCAGGCACAAGGCCGAGATAGAGAGGTGGATGTTTCAGTTAGCCTTGGATCTCTGTGTGACATAAAGGGAGGTCCAAGTGAGAAGTTCTAGGTGAGATGGCTTTGGGGAAACGAGACCCAGTATGAAATGCTAAGTCTCAAGGCAAGGGGTCAAGCCAACCCTAACGATCAATCATGAGGAAAAGACCCACCCCAGAGCACTGTGTGTATTTTTCCAGTTAACTCAGAAGGCATTTTCATATCTCTTTTTTTCCTAAGTATTTAAGAAAGTTCTTGCTGTACCCTTCACACACTAACAACAGGTGTGCTGTGGAGGTGCAGGGAAAGATGAATACATATGAAGAGAAATATGAATAAATATACACAAGCATAAAAATGTGTGGTATCGTAAAAATTCATGTCCACAATGAATTGTCTTTATTATGCATCTTCCTTTTTTTATTTTATGGACTTACTTTATTGTCATTTTAGGCAACTACTATTAACAGCATTTCATTTGATAATGACAAATTTGTTGACATCTCTCTTCTTTCTAGATTTAGTTGAATTCCAGAGAAACCTTTGAAATGCAAATAATTAATCATTTCTCATACCTCTAAGAAGGTTTGGAACATGGCAAACCTTAAATGTGTCTTGGAAAGTATTATCTATTTCCAGGAAAGTGTAGGAATCCATATCTAATTCTCAGACAGATAAGGACTGAGTGAACATGAAATACAGACTGTGGTCAACTTTAATTCTTTCCCACATCAGATTTTCATGAAACATTGTCTTTTCTTTGAGTGAGACAAATGAATTTCTCTAATACTTTATACATCCATTGGTAAAATTCAATTCAAAAACAACTCTAAGGTCAAATATAAATTATTTTGTTGTTATATCTAATTTTGGATTATATAGGATCCAAATTTTATATAAAAACAATCCTCTTGTCTTTTCTTTGCCATTAAAACAAATTACAATTGGTGAAGTCCCAAGATTATAAAGCACTATTTAAGCATTCATGTTAGGTGTGAGGATTAGAGGAGAATACAAAGACTACTGTGTTAAAGGATAAAGTTTCTGAGACTAGATGGGGCAACTTACATGGGTTTTAAGGAGAAAATACAATACTCAGTTTTAGAAGGAATGGAGGGGAGACAGTATGTTTTGGCAGTACCTCAGGTTCTTAATACAGAAGATATTATTTTAATCATCTTCATAATTGCATCTAATAATATGCTTTCCCTGTAACAGAAAATTATATTTCCTGTGTCTCTGTGGGTACACTTCTATGAGTTTAAGAAGAATATTTGTAAAATGAGAATTAAAGAAGGATCATATTCTTTTAAATGACTTTCCTCAGCCTTTGCATCTGAGAGTCTGAGGCAGCCTTGGCCACTGAGCACTGGGTCAGACCCAACCTGCTTGTACCTCTTTTGCTGCAGAGCCCAGACCCATACTCCTGGGTCAGACATGTTGGAGTCTTATTCCTCTATCAACTCTGGTTGACCTCTAACAAAATTCTAACTGCTTTTCTCTCCCTTTGTCTCTGAAGAGAGTTTTTATTTTATACTCTTCCAATTTAACAGAGGGAAAAGGTTAAAAAGAAAATGAAACACCCCCTTCAAAAAATAAAACAAAACAAAAAAGTAGTCCACAGTCTCCCCCTGTATTGAAGCCAAGAACTCTGCCAATTTTGCTCTCATATCTCTGAGTTGCACCCTGACCCTTTATATGACCAGTGGGGCTTGTTGCATAAGATCTATCTGGGCGCCTGTCTCAAAGTGCTATCTTTGTCCATATTTCAAAACACTCACAGATATTTTATCATTAATTAGTATTCATATTATGTCTCAAACAATCTGTTCAAGAATAGGGGAAGTGAACTAGTTGGACAGCTCTTCTGTTTGCCTAGTGATTAACATGGGTAATGTATGGAGAAGCCTAAGACTTATAAAGGGAGAAGGCGGTCAAATGTTGGGTAGGTAACTCCTGGAACATCTAGAAGCTCACCTACTTTGGAGGTTGGACTTCTCCAGAAAAACTATACTTGGCAAACAGGGTGGGGAGACACAGACCTCTTTAAAAATAGACCCATGCCTTTTTGATTCACAGCATCCTGGATTGCTTTTCATCATGTTATCATGCCACTTGGGAGCTGGCTGGACTCCCTTGTTCAGTGACATATACTTCATAGTGTGTGTGCGTGTGTGTGTGTGTGTGTGTTTAAAAAAAAAAACCATTTGTTCTTTCAACCACAACATGCTTTGCATTTCTCTTTCAAATTTGAGGGTGTATATATAGATTGATCAAAATAATATTTTTAACATTCCAAACAATTTAGAAAGATAGTGGATGGGTGTCAGTTAATCTATTATGTTCCTCTCTTCCTCCTCCCCCTCTTCAGCTGCTAATCTTAGAACTTGTGTGCCAAATTGTGTAAGATATTCTTCCAATAGCTACATGTGTGACTCTTTTGTGAGCTCTACAGACAGTTATGAGGACAGATTTGGAGTTGCATATGGGACTGTCACATGATTTGATTGCCTTGTCTTCCAGGCACTGAGATTTCTTTTCACTGAGCTTTAATACTGAGGAATTTTTAGTTGTGATGGAAGTTCAGCAAAGTCTCTATTAAAGAAATTACACACCCCAGGAATGGGGAAGAAAAAAAAAGTTTTTACTCAACACCACTCTGCATTTGGCATCTCTATATACTGAACAGTTCATATGTTTACTTTTTCCAGTAGTGAAAAAAATTCACAGAATTTTTATGAAAATCAGAGAGTTAAGAGCCTTTATTATCCTCCTTGCTCTTTTGGAGCAAGATCTAGTAGATGTCTCGACAGAAAAAGGAAGCAGATGCTTTGTAAAAAGGTCTCATATAATTCATGTCCAATTATAGAGAATGATCTACAGAAAAAAAAATGTTATCTATCAACTGTTAGGAGCCAAAAATACTGTGCCTTTAGTCTCTGAAACAGAAAGGTGCAAATCCATTTTCAACTTTACAGAGACATATTGAAAACCCTCTTTCAGGACCCAAACACCACAGCCCCTCATCCCACTGAACCACAGTACCACCCTTGAGGGACACACAACATTAAAACAAGGTCTTTCTCTTAATCTTATTTCAGATGTTTCTCAAGAATAAATAATACCCTAATAATATCTGTGTCCAGGGCATTAAGACATAAAATATTTTAAAAGTGTTAATCACATATACCCAAAGACCTTTTTTTTTTCTTTTAATGCACAGTGTGTGAGATTACTTATCCTCATGTTATTTTCACTCTGCAAAACAAATACAATGGTTAATTCCTGAGAGCTACACCTATTAGGTTTGAAGTCTTAATTTAGAAATAATAACAATGGCTGACATATATCCATTGCCACTCTGAACCTAAACTATAGAGTTTAAAATAAATATTTTTTATACATTACTTCTAATCCTCAGAATAACTCACCAGAATGAGTATTATTATTATTATTTTCTTTTTCCCTGTTGAGTAAAAAGTCAGAAATAGCTTGAATGAGGAGAGAAGTGTATTTTGTTGTTTCAGACCTTAATTTCCTTCTCCTATTTACGTTGGAGAAGTCTCATACCTTGTGAGGGAAATTGCACTAACACCTTGCACAGTGAAACTTATGAGTGGTAGAACACAAGCAGAAGCTTCCATGTCCTTAAACCACACCCTGAAAATTCTGGAGGCCACGCATAGAGGCTCTGCACCTCACCACATTCTTGTGGCTCACTGTTACATAACAAGCAGCAAGTTCTTTGCAACTGCTCTGGATTCCTGGCAGAAGAACTTAAGGACATATAAAAAGGTACCTACAGTATCTATTTTATTGCTAGTCTGCAAAAAAGCAATTTATGAAAAGGTTTGCTTCAGACAATACCAGGTCTTTCTCTGTGCATTTCATAATGCTTTGAACTAAATCTGGCATAATAAGATTTGACTGAACTGTTATGTTCTGCTGCGTAAGTGGCTGTGCACAATTGAGAAAGGAAATTGCTTAATAGAAAGTTATAGTCATCACTAACTTTATCTTAATTCTCCAAAGCAATAAGTTAAGACTCATTCAAGAGCAGCTTAGAGCTCTGAGAAAATGTTGAAAAATATTCTGTTTAGAGACATTTCTGCCCATGTGGTATACTGTACTTTCTGGAAATGGGGGTTTATCTCTGATATTTTGTTCACTTGGGGTATATTTTATCTTATTTCTCCAAAGACATTTGAACAGGGCCTTTTCTACCCACTCTTCTAAAATATTTAACAGAGATGATGTTTTTCAGCATGAGATCTGTACCCTAGTTTGAGGTTGTAACTCCTAGTTATCCCATAGACATCAAAAGCCATTTCTGAAATATACTGAATTTAGAATGTACCATTATTTATACTATTATATCATCAGAAAGTAATGGGTACTTAAAATAAATAATAGATTAAGCTGATGATTGGAATTTATTCTAGAAAGAACTTACAAGAATTTGTTCTCTGTTAATATTAAAAATTATATTGCAATGCCATCATTATTTGCAGTGGCATTAATATCTACCTAATAAATCTATGAGACATGAACAACCAGTTAAACTAGCAGGAGTTTTAGTAAGTTTAGAGCTTCATAACATTGCTAGTTGCAAAGGAAATATGAAAAAATCTTCTAAATATCAGCAGTAACCAATTTAAAAAGATAATGGAGGAAAAAGACAACACGCACAGTAGCATCAAAAAACTGTAAGAAATTTCAGGACCTCTATGAAAAAACCATAAATACTTATGGTTGGTGAAGCTTTAAAAAATTGAAAGGATAACACCATGTTTCTGAATGGAAGTGATTTAAAGATACATGGTTTTAAATAGTTTTGATCCTTAATTTTATTAAAATCAAGTCTTAAAGGGAATGTACTTAACACAATGATTCTGAAGTAGATATGGAATCAAGCAGGCAAACATAGCCTGGAAGAAGCTGAAAAGAAGAAACTAGAGGAGAGAGATGGATACAGGGAAGGAGAGGGCGAAGAATAAGAAGCCTCATACCACCAGATACTAAACTAGAACGCAGAGATACAATTCAAATCATGTGGCATTGGTACAGCAAAAGATAAGAATCCCAAATTTGAAATCTCTCTTAAAATTACTTGCTTTCATACTTGCAGAGGTGGCTGTGTTGCCTTAGATGCTGCCTGTTACTGATGTGGCAAACTTTGCTTTGGAGATGCCTTGTCTTCCATGAAGGAGCCGGCTCACTTCTACAGCTGATAACAAGGTGCAGTTTGCTGACGGGCAGCATGAGCTGCCTCTTACTTTGGTTATTACAAAGTAATAAATATTGTTTCTCTGAATCCAAAAGTCTCTAAAGCTCCAATATCTGAGCTTCCAGTTGATAGGGAAAATATTTCCTGGGTTTGTACTTTATTTTTGCTGTGGCTGACATGTTTGAATTTGAGCTATTTCACAGATTTCCCACCCCCCCCAAGCCCCTAGTGACTTTATTTGGTATTCAATGCAAGCTAAAAATAAGATGATATCATAATTTAAATTATATAAGCCAAACTTGAGTTTTAATGTAGAATAAAAATATTTATTCATTATGTATTTCTTCTCACTTATCCACAGATGTTAAGTCCCAATTTTCAAAAAGTTTCACCAAGGAAAGATTGTATGGTATTTTCGGTGAGGCTAAGGGGCAAAGTAAATACTGGTCATCTTTATAGATCTTGAAAAATAAAGGTAATCTCTAAGCATGCCAACCATACCCACTCTATAACTAAAGGTAATGCAAATTACCATATCAGACTGAAAGTCTGAATATTGCAGTTAGTGGTATTTAGTTTCCTGCTTAGTTAATGTCAGTTTAGGTACTGCTTACAATAATTTGCTACAGAATCATCATAATTATTTTGCTGTTGTAAGAGAATGCATTTATAGCTAAGAAGAAAATGAGTTGGGGAAAGATCATTTTTCAGAGTTGAAGTTTATGGCCAGTATTCTAAAATATAAGGAATGTATCTAGTTTTTGCTTTAAAAATGACTTGCTATCAGAAGCTAAATGAACATTTTATAATTTTCTATACAGCAAAAGAAAAGTGTTTTTAACTTAATTACCTATGCCTGAAAAGATATTTGAATATATTCTTATTAGAATAATTAGTAATATGAACATATCATAATAAGCTATTATACTCTTTCCAGAAATTTTTTGGTTCTTTGGTTTTCTTTGAAGGTGCTAGGAGAGTACAAACTGACATAATATTATTCAACATGCTGATACTTTTTAGGATCATAATGTTGGTTGTTAAAACTTCACTAAATTGACTTGACAGTTTCAAATTAAGTATCATCTTGTGTTTTTCCTTTCCCCATATCTTTTTAATGACAGTGTCATATAATATGATGGTTTTATGAGTGGTTTTGCTATCTCATTCATCAGAGTAATCAATGGGGAAAGGAGCCATATGGGTTGTAGTCCATTTGTATTGGATAGGACAGATGGCATTATTGATAGATGGAAATATTCCAAATATTTATCGTATAATGATATTACAGGGACTCTGACTTTTTAATTTTAATACTTTAATTTCTACAGTAATGGGAAAATTAAGTAACTTATTCAGTTATCATGTATCCATTTAATTATATCAATGTGTGAATGGTAGCATTAATTACCTTTCAATTAATAGTTTATTTTACATGATGGACATTTTTCTGTCTTTGTTTTACTTACCTGATTTCTGACCAAGCCATCAGTTCAGTCTTGAGGATTTTAAGGTGAAAACAGTTTTTAGAGCAGACAGTAAGTTAAAGATAGGATCCCAGAAGTGAATGAAGTAAAGATTCCATAAGAGTTCTTCCCCAATATCACCTCCTGTAGGAGGCAGAGAGGGAAGGGGTAGTATTAAAGATTCTATACATTTGCCTCTTGCATAAATTTCTACCCCCAATAGATTTGCTAAAATTATGTTCTAATATAAGTGTGGACATAAGGATAGAACGATATGATTCAAGTTCTAGTTATATTTCATTTTCTCAATTTGAAATTGAGTCATTTGAGGAAGGGTTACTGCTGTGTAGTAAAGTCAATGCACTGTCCTCACAAATGTTTAACACCATCCCAAAATCACATTTGCAGTAGTAGAAATAAATGAAATCCAGTGGGAAGGAGGTCTTCACTATTTACTCTGTATACTTTTGTATTGTTTAAATGCTTACTGAATGCATATAGCCATGCTTTGCTTTTGCAATTGCAAAGTAAAAAAAAATGATAGTTTGAGTCATTTCCAAACTTCTCTTGCCATTGTTCTATTTTTAAAATGGTATCAAGCCCTACTATTGAAAGCTTCCTATGTATAAATACTATATATTAAAACTCTTTGATAGTACCTCCAGGTAACTTTCTATTTTATTTAGAAGTAGTGTAAATTATTTAAAAATAGTGACCATTTTTTGCAAACTATAATTTAGGACACATTGTCTAACAACATTGTTGTTGTTGTTAATTTGTGAATTTGTTACTGTGAAAAAATTACAAAAGCATAAAAACTAAAGGCTTTTACATTTAGTTATAAATTTATCAATCTGTAACTGACTGACACCACTAAATTCCCAGTATCTAGCTAATTGCCTTACACATATAGAGAGCTCAATGTTTGTTGGTTGATAAACAAGGAAGGATGCTATACACCAAAAACATCTGGAAACATAGAGGTTAGTTCAGTATTTTCAAAGTTATAGTGTGATCCCATGAACCAAATAGAAACTTTATGCTAAAGTTTTGATAAGATCACTTTTTTAAAAAAGTTTATAGATACAGATTATGTAATCATATTGAAAGGAGAAGCCAACCAAGCTTTACTTAGTCACAACTGTCCAATAGCTTCAGTGAGCCAAGAAGAGGACATGGTAAGTTAGACCTATCCTGTTCAAGATAGACTGTTGGCCATGTATGACTTAGAGCAAAACAACACTGTTTGTATTCCTACTGCCCTGGCAAATACAAATGAATCAAGTATACCCTGACGGTTCCAGATTTCTCCAACACAGGAGACAGTTTCAGAAGTGCTGATGAAATTGATGTAGATAATATTCTGATAGAAATCTTAGGACCAGTCATAAGCCAGGAAAAAGACTAGCACCAAGAGAAGTGATACGGAATTTGAAACATTCTACACATATTTCCTGTTTCTTTAAAAACCGTCAAAGTCTCAGGAGTATAAAAGGCACAGGGTTTCGTTTTGTTTTGTTTTGTTTTGTTTCTGGCCATTAAAGCCTTTTATTTCCTTCAATTATGGGATCACATATATGAGTGCTTTCCAATGAAGTTTGGGAATAATTTTTCCTCTGAACCTTGTGTCTACATTTGCAGGCTTTACCCTTCCCCAGTCTGTTCTAATTTTCTCATTATTGATGTTTGTCTCTCCTGCTCTCTCCTCCTCCTTTGGTGCTCTTTCACACATTGAGGGACAGAAACAAAGACGTATCAGCTATTCGTTTGGATCATCAAACAGGAAACTTTTCAGGCAACACTGCAGTGTAGTTACATTATTATGTGATTCTCGTTGTTTTAAGAAGATTTTATTTTTCCTTCCTTATTTCAA